TGATTAAAAAGTATATAATGAAAATAGTATCATCACTAATAAAACATTGAAAAATAGCTTGTAGGGTTATGGTATTGCAATGCTCATAGTCTCATAATACCTATCTCGTAAATTACTTTAAGAATTAAGCACACTGAAGGGTGTGTGTTCGCAGGCTCTCTAGACGACTCTCTCTCACCGCTCTTGTCCAGTGCCCTCAAGCCTCTGTGTATGGACTGGACAGGGACCGCTGTTGGCGATGGTTAGAGGAAGGAAGAACAAGGGCCAAGCCAGTTGATTGATCAGATACTGTTTATTCCATTCTCCCCACACGCCCGCCCCAGTCTCTCTGAATCTCCCATTCTAGTCTCACATTGCCTCTCAGTCCCGACTCCTCCTGTCTCTCCTGCTCATCTCTTCATTCCATCCCGCAGCCTGGGCTCTTTCTCTCCACGTGCCTGCTCCTGTATTTTTCTTCTACATTCTTCTCTCTGTTCCCTTTGCTAGTCTCTCCGCACTCTATCTTGCTGCCCTGCTCACTCCCACTCTTTCCCCAGCTCTCTTGTCTCTCCAACTCCCCAGCACTCTGGGCTGACACTGCACTCAGTCTAAGAAAACCCATCCTGAGGGCCCACCAAGTTCAAAGGAGACACCACCTAAGAGCTATTTCAAAGCCCTTCCTGATTGCCCCAGGGAAAAATACTTACTAAGGTGTTTTTATCTTTTCCTCAGTCCAATAACTGTATTAACATCTTAACACTAGTTATTTTTGTATGGACACAGTAAGAGATACACTGAGGTTTGTGGGGCAGCTCTCCTGAGAACATCTTACCACAGACTCAGATTACAGAGCTCAGGCTAGATTAATTTTTCCTAACACTAGCAGGGTCCGAAACTAGTTATTACCTTTTGGATCATGACAGCATTGGTCCATGACCAAGCTCTTAACTTATAGTTAAGCATTATGGCACTTTCGCCAGGCCCATCTCGATGCCAGGGTAGCACATAGCTTACAGCTTACCCTGGTTCCATCCAGTCCCTTGTCAGGACCCTGCTATTTGGGGGTTCTACGATGAAAGGGCAGCTGAGGCTTAGGTCGAGAGAACAGATGCCCAGGAGGAAAATAACACTGAGAGTCACATTACAAAAGCATAGTATATACTGTCCTCTTGAGTCCATACAAAGAGCACATTACTCTGAATACACTATGCAAAGGACTTAGGAAAAAGAGAAAAACAATACTTACAAGTCAACAGAGCACAAAGAAAGAAGTTACAAATAAACACAGAGGAATGGGAGCACTGTGATGGGAGCAACCCAATAAACCTAAACTACCCGAGGCTATGCAGGAAGGACAAAACAGTGTTATCCTACATCTTATGACATATAGATACTTGTTGAGGTTGAATTTGTATGTTTACTTATAATCCTTATCTCAAAAAATGGAGACTTGCTAGATAATAGATAACTGCTAACTTTGAAAATAATTGTAGGGTTCAAGGATTTAATACTTGGTTTAGCTCTGGGTTCAATCTCTGGTGACAGCCTCTGATTCCCTGTGTCCTTAGAGGTCCTGAGCACTGTTGGAGTGGACCTGGATCATGATACCAGGGTGCCAGAGCAGCATCGGATCCTAGTTGTGAGACCACTGGCCCTCATACCTGAATATCATGGGAAAGGGCCCCAGGAAACTGAGCACTACTTAGGATTGATTAGGAGACCCCTTTCTCAACTGTAATACAACTTAAGCTTTATGATGCAGATGATGCAAATTCCAGTAGGCAGGGGTCACACCCACCACCTGGCCCCCAGGCGCTGTGTAATCCCATCAACGGCCAAGACTCAGAGACTATAAATCCAGCTCCCGGACGAGAACAGTGCAGTCTCCTGCCCCTGCGCCTGGCTGTTCCTCGCCAGGGTCCCTTGGAGGGGAACGGGTTGAGCTTTCCTCCCCGCCCCGACCAGGGCTCCGGCAGCCGAAGACCTCCAGGACCAGCCACCACCATGCTGAGACCACTCTCTGCACACATGAAGGTACTGGCAGAGGGACAAAGCCACGCGGGTTCCGGGGCCGAGATCTCCAAGCCTACTCAGATTGGAGTCGAGCATCCTCCACCCTGATCCTCCAAATTCCAGTAGGCGGGGGTCACACCCACCACCTGGTCCCCTGGCGCTGTGTAATCCCATCAATGGCCAAGACTCAGAGACTATAAAATCCAGCTCCCAGACATTTTATCAGGACATCTTTTTATGACATCTTATTATCTCATTCCTACTTTGGACAAACTTGCAGGCTATCGAATGTAGCCTGCCCACAGGGCAGAGTCTGGCAAACTCCCCGTGGCGTACGAAATATGCCAAATACCAGTAACAATGATGGGTCTCATTCTCCTAAAGAGCCTTGAATATAATCTCAGGGCTAGGATGAAAAAGATGTTACTGGGGCCTGCTCGAGGCAATCGACGAATAACAGGATGATGAATGAATGAATGAATGATGCAGATGAAAATAAACATTTTTTTAAAAAATAAAACCTTTATGCTTATAAATTTAACTGTACTATTTTGGGGGTTAAAGTCAAGAAATATGAGTCAGTGCATACTTGAGATACTTCCAAAAATCAAGCAATATCTTATCAAAAGGTATATTTCCGTACTAAAATAGCCAAGTCGCAGGAAACGCATCCTGTTTTCAAGTACAAAGGACTAAAAAATATTGAGGAGTACTTTCAGAAAATCCTATGATGTATAAAAGAGAATATAATTTTCAAAATAAAAAAGGGGGCATATTAAAGCTTCCAACTCCCTATCCTTCATTTTAATGTATAAGATGTCAAACCTGCAAACTATTTTGTTGGGAACTAGAGACCTAACTACTTTATATCTTATTTTATTTAGCAGAAAGCATTGCACTTATGGTTATGTATTCATGCCCAGTTGTTCCACTAGAATATAATTTCCACGAGGTCCTTTCTTTATGTGTTTTGGACACAACTTTGTGTCATTATTCTGGTGCTATATATACCAATAAATATTTGTGGTTGAAAAGAGATATGAAATAGAATATGAGCATGGAATACATGAAAAGAAATTTTAGAATACCATAATCCTACAAGCTATTTTTTAATGATTTTAGTGATGATATTGTTTTCATTATATACTTTTTAATTAAAAGAAATTCTTTATTTTCTAAAATACTTTCAAATTAACATTTCTTTTGAAAGTAGGAATTATACTGAAGTGAATTATGAAATCAACAATGGTGAAAAGTCTGTTTTATTGTAATGGATATTCTATTTCTTAGCATAAAAAAAATCTCAATTTTTGCCCTTAATAAATAGTTTTTTTGCATATATACTTAGGAGAATTAAAATAAAAACTGTTCAGGGATGCGTCAAATATGATATGGATTGACAAATTGCCTTTTTTTTTATAAAATATTGCTACACAATTTCCATAATTTTAAAAATAAATTTATTTAAATATTTTAGCACTCTAAATATATAAAGTAATTTATTTCTCACACAGTTTTGAAATTACCTGAAATTGTCTAGATGAAATATGTATGTATTTATATAAAATCAATCTACATGCAGAGAATCTGACTAAAATGTATCTTCCAATATAGAATGAGATTTGTTTTAACATCAGTGAGATATGTAGTTTTTAATAAATAATAGTTATAAAAATTGGAAATATATTTGAAGTATAGCACTATAGCACTGTCCTCCCATTGTTCATCAATTTGCTCGAGTGGGCACCAGTAATGTCTCACAACAAATTGTGAGACTTGTTACTGTTTTTGGCATATTGAATACGTCACGGGAAGCTTACCAGGCTTTGCCGTGCAGGCGGGATACTCTCGGTAGCTTGCTGGGCTCTCTGAGGGCGCAGAGGATTTGAACCTGGGTTGGCCACGTGCAAGAGGGACAGGGGGAATCGAACCCAGGTCGGCCATGTTGGCCTCATGGAAGGCAAACGCCTTACCTGCTGTGCTATGTTGTAAGTTAAAAACTTCATACAGTGATTACTTCAGAACAACCCTGATTTAGTGAAATACTCAGACTATCATTCTTTCAAGAAGAAATAGAGGGCCAGAATGATGGTACAGCAGGTAAGGCACTTGATTTGAACATGGCAAACATTTGTTTAATCACTGTCACTCCATACCTTTTCCCAAGTCCACCAGAAGTTATCCCTGTCTGCTCAGCCAGGAGTAAGCACTAAGTCATGTGAGGTTCTCCCAGTGCCGAAGAAAAAAAGTACAGAACTTTGATTTGTTTTGTAATGAAAAATGCAGTTGTAAAACTTTATAGCAGAAAATTTAGTTTAATATAGAAAACTAATTAATAAAGCATGCCAGAGACAAATCCTGAGTCTGTTTTAACTGCTTTAATTAGCATTATTAGAAACATTTTTTTTTCAAATTACCTAATAGCAACAAGAAAGCAAATTTAGAATAAAATAATTTCAAACATTATACTAACTTCCTTTCTGTGTTTATTCTTGGCAATATGACTGCATGCCCAAATCCTACTGATTGATTGTTTTATAGATTAATTTATCTATTTTTGGTAATGCTAGGTGAGTGAAAACATTGTTATTATTATCTTATAATAAAAACATGAAATGTTTTGCCACAATTAATATTAACCAATGTTAATACACAACATATCTCATTTCACTCCAATGTTAAAATAGAATTTACTTTACACATAGAAAAATTATTGCCTTTCATACAAGACAAAGTATGTGGAATATAATTATTCCTTTAGACTGAATACCCACATTTCTTAAATGAAGGGAGATTTGGACCTGGAATGATTCATTTAAGTTCATGGATTTTTGTAATTTCCCAGGCAACTACTTACTTCACTGAAAAGCTGAAACATAAGACACATTGGTTATTGTAATCTCAAAGACTATGAATACAGAGACAACAGATAAAACTTTGGGAGCTCTAACCTTACAGCTGTGTTCTGGAGAAAGGAAAAGGTGGTACTTAACTTGAAATGATGTTGTTTATCAGGTAGGATAATCCTTACCTGCTCCTCTATTCTGAGGGCAGATAGAACATGATGACTTGAGTTTGCATGATTCATGATTAACTCCTCTGTATGACTAGGGCTCACTACACCCTAATAGCTCCTGCCTGATGTTAAAAAAATCAAACTGATATGATAACTATATTGCCCAACAGAGAGAAAGGAGCTCTGGAAAACATTGGAACTACATCCCCAATGACTGAAATGGAAGACAATGGAATTGGAATAAATGTTATAATGTATATAGTACTACATTCTGAGAAATATATATAAAATATTATTTACTGTTTACTTTTTGGTAGTTTGAATCTTGAATAGTTTATATCTTGATGGTTAAAGGAAAGTCAATGTACATTTTTTTCAGAACTAAGTGCAAAGCATGACACTATATTATACTTGTTTGGTTTAATCCCAGTGCTACATAGTTGCTTAGTTGCTGAGAACCACCAGAATTATCTCTAAGCACTGAACTAGGAGCAAATACAAACACAGACACACACACACACACACATACATGCATGCATACATACACAGATGAGCATCTGATATAAATAACTATCTTTGTGGTTTATTTACTAAATTTAACTAAACAAAAAATAATAAACAATTAATTTTTTCATGGGGAGAACATTTCTATGTATTTTGCCTCTAAGGAATTCACTATTTTCTCACAGAAGTGAGGAGTAAGCAGATCCTTTTGAAATATTCAGACTTTTCTCCATGATGTAGACCTCTACAAGAACTATGAGTAGAGTGCAATTCTGAAGTGATATCTCACCTTGAGAAAGACAATTGTTCTGTATCTCTGACCCCTTGGACTTCCTCATTTAGAGGAGGAATAAACATGCCATAATCAACAGGCGTGAAGGCATCAATAAATAGTGAAAGCTGTAAGGAGGGGACAGGATTATTTTTTAATGTTACATTTTTTAATATAATATATAAATGTTATATTTTTTAATATACCCTCTGTCTAGAGGGTATATATAGAATATATAGAGTATATACAGAATCACTTAAAAAGTCAGCCAGAGTCTCAAACAAGGGGAAACTAAAAAATTGAGTCAATCAGAAAATGACTACCATTGTCCCTCTCCTACATTCTACAAACCTCCGTACAATAACAATGATTTAGCTGAGCTATAATGCACCGGCTGTTTTGATGATCAGTACCTGGAGAAACCCTCAGACAACACAAGAACAATAACAGCTTCCTGTGGGCTCTTGAAGTAACCAGCCGCCCACAACTGACATGACATAGGAGAGACTTGAGAGCATCTCTAAACTGCAATCTCCCAGGCCCCTCTTCCTTAACTGTCTTGGAGAAGCAGATCCAAATCTCCAGAATTCAAGAGCCAGGGATAAAGAATTCAAGAGTAAGGAAATCAGGCTCCAATGGAGTAGCCTTTGCTCTGTGGCCCTCACTCAAGATGGTCCCTCTAGGTGTGTCTCTCCTGAGCTGTGGCAGTGGAAGACCAGGGCAGCATGTTGTCTGTGAGGACAGGCCAGTCTTTGAAACCTTTTGCCTATGTGTAACTCCAGAGAAGTGAGGCCGCAGCTTTTGCAGAATTCATTCCCAAGGCCAGGGTCTAAGGCTTCTACATGGCAAGAAGACAGCCCAAATGGGGACCCTGAGGCATCTTGGCTTTCTGCTGCAACCTATCTCCAGAAAGGGTGAGTACCCTTGCTGGATAAACTCACTATACAGAGCAAGGTCACCCTGGGGTGACAGCATAGGCCATCTGCCCCTCTTCCCACTGAGACCAGACCCATTCTGAAGGAGAGGAAATGACTGTGATGTTCACATGGTCTTCCCTTGGTTCCAAAAAAACTTCTTCAAAGTCCTACTTTTTGGAACAGTCCAGGAGGTGTCCCGGTTGATATTGGACTCCCATTGGGTCCCCAGATTCATTCAAATTCTATCCCTGAATAAAATTTTGACTCCAGGCCAGATCTTCTCTGTTCCTCAGGAACACGTTCCCCAACACCAATATATGCTCTGTCCCAGCATTCTTTGCCCACTTAGAAATTTGACTGCCGTGCTGGGTACCAGACTTCTTTTTTTCATTAGGATATACTCCGTGGCCACCAGTTCTCATTTGTGTCCCCACTTACTCTAATGTTTCTACACATATGCGCATTGTCAGGATCAAGCCCACGAGTCTGCGCTCTGTGTCCCAATGGGCACAGTTCTCTTTCCCATTACCCTTCGCTTCTTTTGAGGTTTATGAAGGAGGGGAAGGGATTCAGTTCCTTAGTTTTGCCAAAAAAAAAGCCAGAAATTTCTTTTGTCAGTGCACTTAGGGGCCTGTCATAAAATATCATACTTATTTCTCACAATTGTTTTGTGAAAGGTCAAGTGACCTGGAAGTGACCCAGCAGCAGGGTGGCAAATCACTTGCCCTGCTGAGTTTATGCTAGGACCTACTTTTTAACTGTCTTCACTGGAAAGTGCGAGGCTGTGCCCTGAGAACCCTTTATGGACACTAATCCTGTTGGTGTAGTGTCACTCTCAGTCCCCAGTCCCTTCCAAATGTTGTTCCCAAATACACATCTCTACAGAAGCTAGGGGAGTAGCAGGAATCTGAAATGACACAAATTTTCCATCTAGGGCATTGTACCACCACTGTGTTTTTCCTGCGGATATGTGTGACCTCCATCCCATTCCCCACTCCCCCCAACATATTTTAGGTTTTCTGTTGGTTGTTTGTTTGTTTGGGGGCCACTCTTGGAGATGCTCAGGGTTTACTACTAGCTCTGTACACAGGAATTACTCTGGGGGGTGTTTGGAGGAATCATACAGAATGCTCAGTATTGAACCTGGGTCAGCTGCATGCAAAGCAGTGCTTTCCTGTTCTGCTCTCTCTCCAGAATCCCCCACAAACATTTTTCAAAAGTAAAATAAGAAAGCATAATGGGAGATGACAAAGAAAAAGTGTGTCCAATAATACGGAAGCAATGGAGTAGTCACTCATCTTTTTCACGGACTTGAGGAGGTGTTCTGAAATGTTGCACCGTCTCAAACCAGCATCATTTTCTAACCCAGGAATTTTCCAATAGGAAGAGACATTTGGAGGAGAACAAGATCCGTAACTATTATCCCGCAATGAAAACAGACAAGCTGAGCAGGCTGTGAGAAGCTTGTACTTGGATGAAGGTGGATAAAAAACATAACAGAAGTTTTCTGCAAGACGCAGCGCCTGAAACATACAGAACTTATGGTGGGGCATCATCCGTCTGCTTGCAGAGATCACCTGAATCTTAGAATATTCTTTTAACAGAGACAGGACTGGGCAAAAGACCAGTGCAAAGTTCTGGAAATGGATCCAGAAACCGAGTGAACCTGAATCTGAAGCATGAGCTTCCTCTGAACTTTAAATAGCAGTAGGGGTTTTTGTCCTATTGGCAAATCAGACTGTGACCTTCGCAGAAGGGATAGCTAGGAAAAAAAGAACACCACAGAAAGAAATGAAGTGCAAGAGGAACTGGTGAGGAAAGACACCCATGAATTGCATAATCTTGAGACAGTGGAATTAGAATTACAAAAGATATCAGCATTGCCTTGAAATATATGGAATGAAGAAATTCATAAAGTGCTAAAGTGTATTCAAATTCTCAGGCAATTTTTGAAAATTTTATAGATATTGATGATGAGAAACCTGTGGAACTCAGATATTTTTATGGAACTGCATCCATTGGTCACAAGTAAATTGAGTAGAATGTAAAGTTTCTAACAGATTAAGAAAAAATTAGATCAAAGAAAAGTTTCTGAATCATACAAAAGGTATGTGGGTAAACAGAAACAAGACTGAAAACTACACATTTAAAATGCTTAATGAGGAATTTATACTTGGCTGTGCTTTCTCCTGCATATTCCTGGCTCCATTTGGGATGTAGTTTCTTACTTTTTTAAATTGTTTTTGCTTTGTCTGTTAATTTTGGTTTGGGGTAAGAAGACTTGAGGCAGTTTTTTTTGTTTGTTTGTTTTTTTTACTTGAGGCAGTTCTCAGGGCTTCCTCTTGACTCTGCTTAAGGGTCATTCTTGGGGGTGCTGGGAATCAAACCAGGACCAGCAGTGTAGGAAACAGTTGCCTTAGCATCTTACTATCATCCCCAATTTAAGTATTTTCCCAGTACCCACTAGTTTCCACGTAGGTGTGTGCCATCAAACTGAGAGGACTCAACTCAGTCAAGTTTGATGAAAGATTCAGTGATTCAGTATGAATTAAATTCTGTTTTATATGAACTGGTTCACTTCAAGATTTGTTTCCAGTTCCTTGTGGTTTTGGATATTTGTCTTTCTAGTTTGTTCCTGTGGATATGGTGCGGCCATCAAAATTTTTGTATCTCTCTTCTGGCTGATGTTTACAAGTGCTTTTCTCGAGTCTCATCAAAAAGTGTAATTGCTAAATTCTACAAATTTTCTATAATGAAGGCACGCGTGATCAGAACTTTTCCCCATCAGCTGTAGAAAGTAGATGTTTAGTTCCCCAAAGACTCAATAACTCAACACTTCCATTTATTGAAGAAAACAGTCTTGGGCCATTTGTATTTGCATGTTCTGATCACTACCTGTGATTGTTTGGAAGCCATTTGATTGATTTGTGCAACAGTTTTTGTTGTTGTTGTTTTTACTTTCCTTTTGCCTGTTGGATCCTCATTTTATCACTGACTCGAGGTTTGCTCTATTTCAGTTAATAGCATTATGTCTTTGCATATATATTCTTAAAACAGTGGCAATGGAAGGTTTGAGTGCCAGGCGAAGTAGTCAATCTAAGTGATCTTTTAAAATCAGGACCACTGAAAAAGTATCCAATCATAATAGATAATGAAATGACTGGATATGTGAAATAGCAGCAGATCAAAGGAAGTGCCTATAAATATACCTGGTAAGTTGTTTTCAAAACGATCAAGGTCATCAAAACAAAAAAAATCTGAGAAACTGTCACAGTCTAGAGCTGCCTAAGGAAAAATGAAGACAAAGATGATCAGACAACTAAATGAAAGGTGGTATTTCAGATAGGATCCTGAGAAAGAATTTAGGTGAAAACAAAGAAAGTCTGAGAAAAGCATGAACTTCGGATAATAATAATGTATCATTATTTTTTTCAT